CAGCCAGAGGGATGCCCTGGATTCCCACAGACAAATCCCTGCCCCTCACCTGCAGATTTGGGAGCACAGAGCTGAAATCAGCACAAAATGGGACGAGAGACAGCCAGGCCCTGCTGAGGGCAGGGGGAGAAATTATTGCTGGGAAAAGCAGCGACACCCCAAAGCCACAGAGCCCCTGGGCTGTGACACGCATGGGCCCCACACTCACTTGGGATCCCCGAGACGAGTTTCAGGGGCCGCAGCACCCGCACGGCACGCAGCGTCCGCAGGTCAAAGTCAGTCCCAGCGGTCGCCAGAATCCTGAGGGGAAAGGGGGAAAAAATCCAGATTAAATGCAAATTTCTCTTTCCAAAGCATGGCTAAAATTCCACATTAAATGCAAATTCCTCTTTCTGAAGTATGGCTAAAATTCCAGATTAAATGCAAATTCCTCTTTCCAAAACATGGCTAAGTATGATGTAAAACCAGCAAATAGTGGAGCTGCTTTAAAAAAAAAAAAATCCAGATTAAATGCAAATTCCTCTTTCCAAAGCATGGCTAAAATTCCACATTAAATGCAAATTCCTCATTCCAAAGCATGGCTAAAATTCCAGATTAAATGCAAATTCCTCATTCTAAAACATGGCTAAATATGGTGTAAAACCAGCAAATATTGGAGCTGCTTTAAAAAAATTCCAGATTAAATGCAAATTCCTCTTTCCAAAGCATGGCTAAAATTCCACATTAAATGCAAATTCCTCTTTCCAAAGCATGGCTAAAATTCCACATTAAATGCAAATTCCTTGTTCCAAAACATGGCTAAGTGTGATGTAAAACCAGCAAATATTGGAGCTGCTTTAAAAAAATTCCAGATTAAATGCAAATTTCTCTTTCCAAATTGTGGGTAAAATTCCAGATTAAATGCAAATTCCTCATTCTAAAACATGGCTAAATATGGTGTAAAACCAGCAAATATTGGAGCTGCTTTAAACTCTGTGATCACATTGTGGATTGTGTTCAGTGACAGGAATTAATTCTCACAAACTCCAGGGCTCCTTTAGGAAGATCCCCAATTTCTGCCTGTTTATGAGGCCACTGCACCTCATCAGGACTAAAGAGCTGCACCCTGTGCCCCAGGAAGGCACAGCCCAAAAGGGGACAGAGAGGGAGCAGAATCCCTCAGTTTTGCTGGAAATTATATATATATAATTATATCTATATTATTATATTTATTATATTATATTATATTATATTATATTATATTATATTATATTAATTATATTATATTATATTATATTATATTATATTATATTATGTATTATTTTATAAATTTATTATATATTATAATCATATATTATATATATAATATATAATTATATATATAATAAATCCACATTCGATGTCTGGTCTTTCCCAACACCTGAAGCAGTTTCTGCTCAGAGTTTCTTCTCTGTGTGCAAAATTAATTTTTGCTCAGAGCATCCTCTTGGAGGAGAACATGCAGAGAGCAGGCTGTGGGGCTGCCACACCATGAAATGCAGCCCCCAGAGCAGAAAGAGCCTCGGAAGTGTGATGCTCTGCACAGAACTGAAATGGATTCTGCTTTAGGGCACAGCCAGGCAGGAAATCTTGTCCCCGTGTCCACAGTGGCAGCGATGGGAGCTCCCAAAGCCAGCGCTGCCCCGCCGAGAGCAGCGCCGTCACCAATTCCTGCAGCGCTCCTGGGCTGCTCCAGCAGGAACATCCTTTAGCTGGGCCCGTGCTCACCTAAAGCTGGGGTTTAATGATCCTGGGGGCTTTTCCTGCCCAAACAACTCTGGTTCTAACACAAAGCAAGCCCCAACCTCCCAGCAGCCCTCCACCCTCTGCCCCGCTCCCAGTGACCATGAGAACCCTTTTCCCTCACTTTCCTCATGTCAGGAGCTCTTTTTCCCCATTTCCTTGACACCAGGAGCTCTTTTTCCCATTTTATTGCTAACAAGAGCCCCTTTCCCTCAGCTTCTTGACACCAGGAACCCTTTCTGCTTAGTTTCTCACTAACAAGAGCCTTTTCTTCTTATTTTTTTGGTAACAGCATTTTCCCCTCCATTTCTTAAAAACAGGAGCCCTTTTCCCTCAGTTTCATGACACCACAAGCCCTTTTTGCTCAGTGTTTTTATAACAGGAGCCCTTTTTCCTCAGTTTCCTGATAACAGAAGCCCCTTTTCCTCATTTTTTTTGATAATAGGAGCCATTTTCTCTCAGTTTCCTGATAAAAGGAGCCCTTTTTCCTCGGTTTCTTGCTAACAGGACCCGTTTCCTGATAACAGGAGCCCTTTTTCCTCAGTTTCCTGATAACAGGAGCCTCTTTTCTGCAGTTTCTTGTTAACAGGAACCCTTTTTTTCTCAGTTTTTTGATAACAGGAGCCCTTTTCCCCCAGTTTTTTGATAACAGAAGCCATTTTTCCCCCATTTTCTGATAACAGGAGCCCTTTTTCCTCAGTTTCCTGATAACAGAAGCCCCTTTTCCTCATTTTTTGATAACAGGAGCCCTTTTTCCTCAGTTTTTTGATAACAGGACCATTTCCTGATAACAGAAGCCCATTCTCCCTCAGTTTCCTGATAACAGGAACCTCTTTTCTGCAGTTTCTTGTTAACAGGAGCCCTTTTTCCTCAGTTTTTTGATAACAGGAGCCCTTTCTCTCAGTTTCCTGATAACAGAAGCCCATTTCCCTCAGTTTCCTGATAACAGGAACCATTTTTCCTCAATTTCCTGATAATAGGAGCCCCTTCCCTCAGTTTCTTGCTAACAGGAGCCTTTCTCTGCAGTTTCTCGACCCCAGGCTGCAGAGCAGTCTGCAGTGAGCAGCCACCATGCCACCAGCCCAAGGCGAAGCAGAGTTTTCTGGAAGCAGCTGCACCTCGCACTCTGAGCTGTGCAGGATGCTGCCCTGGCAGGGCAGGGAGCACTCCCACAATAAATCCCTCTCCTGGATTTGCTGACTGCCTGAGCCTGGCCCGGGGAAGAGCAGGCTCAGCATTGCTGGGCGGAAAGGGCCAGACTCCATCAGCAGGAGGTGCTGGAGATCAGGAAAAAAACCTGCTGGGATCTTGGATGGCAGGAGGCAGAAGGCAGCCAGGACCCGAGGAGATGAGTGTTTATTCTATAGGACACCTGTTCCCACATTTTCACGACCTTAAAATTCCCATGACATCAGCTCCGTGGATGCAGTTGGAGCACGAGCAACAGGAGACAATTTAAACCAAGAACCAGCACATGCAGAGCCTTCTAATTTAATCTTGTGCACCCAGGCCAGTGATTTCATCCTCTGCTTCCTTCCCTCCATCCTCACAGTTTAATTGCTCATTTATGGACCCGTGCAGGTGGGAATAACCCAGGGAGGAGATAATCCTGAACACCCACCCTGGTTGATGCTCCCAACAGCACAGTCACTATGAGCTGAGCCAGTGTTGGAATCTGAGGTATTGATGATCCTGAGATTGTAGAAAGTCTCTGTCTGTCAGCCCCGCTGCCAAAGCAGAAGCCATAATTGGTCTGTGCTGGTTTCCAGGTTGTTTATTCTGTTTATCTCTCACATGTTCTGCTGCCCTGCCCAGCTCTGTCCTGCAGGGCAGCGTGTGGGGCTCTGCCCTCAGTGGGATGTGACAAACATTAAATACCAGAAACTCCCTGGGCTGGATTTACAAGAACGTGCCAATATCTGTCACCTCCGTTGGACAGTGTGTCCCCAGCCTGAACCAACAGAAAAATGCCAACACCACAGTGACACATGGAGGGCATGAAGAAGGAGAAAAAGGACAAGGCACACCCAATTTCCTCCAGCTTGTCCCCTTTGGACGTCTCATCTAGAATCCTAAAATTTTACTTTTGCACCCGTGCCACACTTAATTATTACTGATATCAAACACTGAGAGCTTGTAATTGATCCTGTAAGATTGAAAACTCTTTTCCATGGGCAGAGATCACAGCCAGTGTCTCTGGGGGCTCTGTCCAGGGGGGTCCCAGACCTGCCAGGGCAGCCAGAGGGAAGCTCTGGATTCCCACAAGCCAGGAACTGATTTGTGCTGTCACCTGACAGAGAGGGTCCTTCAGCCCTTCTTGTTCTGTTTTAAATCCAGAGAGAAACTGGGAGGGAATGGCTACCAGAAAATGTTCCAATGGGATGAAGCCGTCATTCCAGAATTTTCTTCCAAACAGGCAAATCCAGCCTGTTCCAACTCTGGCAACACACACAAAGCCCCTTTCCCAGGAAAACTCCTGGGTTTGACCATTTAAGTCATGAATTCTGACATAATTTTCACTGTCACTCCCCAGTTAACCTGCATGGGACATCCTAGAGCCACTTCCCGTGGCTGCAGAGCTGCTCCGTGGGTTCCATCCCATCCCACCCAAACCCCACAGACCAGCCAGCAGGGCTGAGCTGGCCCTGCTCCCTCTGCCCATGAATCCACCACTCTTGGAAGACAAAACAGCTCAGGTATTGTCTAGAGAGGTTGAAAAAATAAAAAGCTGCAGGCTAAACAAAGCTGGGAAGAAAGCTTGGAATGGTTTGGGCTTCTCTGGGCGCCCTGTGCCAGGGTGTCCAAGGGAAAAATTCCCAATTCCCAATATCCCATCCATCCCTGCCCTCTGGCACTGGGGGCCATTCCCTGGGTCCTGTCCCTCCATCCCTTGTCCCCAGTCCCTCTCCAGCTCTCCTGGAACTTCTCCTCTCCAGGTGAGCACCCCCAGCTCCTCCAGCCTGGCCTTGGGCACTGCCAGGGATCCAGGGGCAGCCACAGCTGCTCTGGGCACCTGTGCCAGGGCCTGCCCACCCTCACAGGGAACAAATCCCCCCCAATATTCCATTTTACTCTGCTCTCTCTCAGTTTGAAATCATTGCCCCTTGTTCTGTCACTCTGCCCATATTAAAAATCCCTCTCCCTCCTTTTCAGAAGTTCCTTCAGGCCCTGCAGGGGCTCTGAGCTCTCCCTGGAGCTTTTCCTCTCCAGGTGAGCACCCCCAGCTCCCCCAGCCTGGCTCCAGGGGGGCTCCAGCCCTGGAGCAGCTCCGTGGCTCCTCTGGACTCTCCAGCAGACCCTGGGGGCTGAATCCCCTTTGGAGCCTTGCAGGTGAATGAGGCAGAGGCTGGCAAAGCCCAGGCTGGGCATCCTGCAGCCCCCTGGCATTCCATGCCCACCCCCGTGGCTCTGCAGCCCCAGCCAGACTGTGCCAGCAGTGGAACTGGGCACAGGGGGCCCTGAGGCTTTTTTAAAGTGTTGTGTTGTCAGCATCCATGCCAGGAACCCTCAGGATGTCAGGAAGGACCCGGGAGCAGCAG